ATACAAAAATATATAGAAAAGAAGTGATGGTGAGCATCAAGCTTTAATGGCCAAGAATAGAAGTTACTTTTGTTGTCTTAATTACTTTGAGCAATCACTAATGGTTTCATACATATGCGAACGTATAAGGGCACATACAGATACAAAGCCAGACACACTAACATGCTTCGAGGTTTACATATGACTGGGACTAACCAAATCACTCAATACCTCATCAAAGATGTCAGATATAGATTATATATACAACTATTTTGGGCTGAGTCGTTGAGTTTTCTTGACTCGTTAACTTGAATTTGGTTGTAAGAATGATACCCTGCTCTTGTGATTTTCGCCATACGACAAACGAAGGCTTAGCACCTTTTTATTGGAATCGAAAGAGATTACCTCGGACACATCGTCACCATGAATTTCACTGTAAAGCCAATCGACAGTTGGTCAAGAGGAATCTGCCATCCGCATCTGGTGGGATCGAATTTCGAATATCTTCACCAAACACTTTTACTCGAAATGTAAGTAAGCTCAACAATAAAAAAAAACAATCTAACATCTAAAATCCAGGACTATTTGGTGAGCACTTATAGACAGGTTCCTAATGGCAGTTGAGCCCAAACAACGAACTAGGATGGTAACTAAAGCAAGAGTGCAATGCAATGCCAGAGTGAAAGGAATGCGAAAAATTAATTGTGAAGTTTAAGGAAAGCTGTTGCTGAGCAATTCCTGCAAATATGTGAGTCTTAATTAATACTGCCCAATTGGAAGGTTTAGATGCTTTCGAGAAGATGGTATATTATGCAGTTGATAATGAGAGCGTATACATGCGTGACTCACCGATTCATGGATCCTTTTGTGAGAATTGCTAGAATATGGCCAGGACTCACGAACATTTGTCTGTAAATACATTCGGCTTGATGGATAGTCGCAAGTGTGTCCGGATTTGATGTCATTAACAGCATCATTACTGATCGAACGATTGTAGATGAGCGTTTCACTTTTGTTGGTATCAACAGTAAGGATGTCATTGTCCTCAATACTGTCAGCATCAGTTACAGTTCTAATATGCAATTGCATCCGAGTAATCTTTTCATTCTCCAACTTTTCTTGCGTCGTTTCTGCACCCTTCTCACTCAGCAGTTGGTCACTAGATTGATGCTCTTTTTCTACCAAATTCCACTTGGTTTGTTTCCCATCATCCGTTTTCTTGTATTTCGATTTACACTCACTTGAAGAAATCACTTTGAGGAGCGTGAAATGATTTACCGATGACTGTTGTTCCTGTTTTTGTACCTCCAGAAGCCTATGCCTTAGCGGACATTGTGAAAAGACACAATTAAAAGATGAAGGAGACACAATTTGACCACGAGCCAATGCCAAAGTTGTGCTTGTTCCAGCCTCCAATTTTGCGCTTTGATAGCGGACCCCAATTTCCGAATGATTATGAGCAGTAGAACTGGTGCAAATGGTGGTGATAGTGGCGGTGATGAGGGAGGCAGAAGCAGCAGCAGAATTGGCCGCTGTCCACAGTCTAGACTCGGACGTCTGATCCAATGGGAGCCGATCGTCGAGTTTACTGTACCACACACTTGCAGACAGCGGAGGCACTATCGTCTTTCGACCAAGCCGTCTCACCGGTAGATTCTCAGTTTGAGCTCGGACCCTATGCGACTCGGCGATCAGGCATGTCGGCTGATGTAACCGAGATCCTGGCGCCTCCGTCCACCAAACTAGGCACGATGGACAATTGTGCTGCCAGACTGGAGGACGCCATTGGCTGAAATCGTCTGTTTGTAGACCCGCAGTCATCCTGTAAAGTCCCATTGAACGGGTCTCCATCGGGACGACAAGAGTTGAGCTGTCATCTTTACTGTCGTCCATCTTAGCTGGGGCTTCTAGTACGTCCGAATCGGTCTTGGCACAAAATCCCAACATCTGATGCTGCCTCGAGTGAGAGTGTATTGGCAGTTGGTGGTGGTGAAGACGAATTGCGCTTCGGTGATGAGCGTAACAACAACAACAACAACAACTGACTGACAGCCTGTAGGCAGATGACTGGACATGAGGCACAGATTGAAGATACTTGTGCTGCTGTAAATGTTGGTTAGGCCGTTGAGACTGCTCGAGACAGAAGCATGAGTTGGCCAAAGTAGTGATTGCAGTATTAAACCGAGATTTTGGTATCTTAAGGCGGGCAGACGACCAGTTGACAACCCCTTTGCTGGTTGGGCTCATAGAGAAACTGACATTCGGCCAGCTTTGGCTGACGCCAGGCCTAATTGACTGGCAGATTTGGGTAAGGTTAGTGTAGTTGTTAGTGGAGGCTAGCAGCGATGCGCGTTGATGTACCCATGGCAACTGATTGTCCAAGTGACTTGATGATGCGGCTGTCTTCAGGGCTATATGGTGACAAACTTTCCTTTTTTCTAAAATGACTGTATCTTCCATATCGCCACCATCTTTGCTATCTTTGCCGGCCCTCATATTTTCATTATGTAAGGCAATATTTGTGCATTTATGCTCATTCTTATCATTTTCTTTATCTTTTACATGATTCCCGCCTAACGCACTGCAATTCAGGTGATTCGGTATTGTCTTTGGGACCATTTTGTCATCCAAACGTGACCAATATCTATCAGCTTCGAGGGATGACTCAGTTTTTGGAGTATCATTAGAGGAGGGTATTAGTGGTGCCTGAATCAGTGCTTTCGAGACTTCAAGGTTCGGGTAGACATGAGCGGAAAAAGCCGAATTCGAGAGCGACGCTATTCGTGAAGACTTTCTAGGAAGGGACAACCGGTCTCGTCCCGCCTCAGGTTGAAGCAGCAGTGAGGAGTAGCGCAGTTCCCGCAGGTGACTGGTCATGGGCCAGAATTCCAACGAGTCATTAGAACAAACCGGGTCATCCTCTTCAGTTAGAGAGTCGAGGATGCCGGTCTCGCGATAGATAGCAGCCGATGGTGGTGGCGGAAGAGGCGGGCCTGAAATGACACTCGACAAGCTCCTGACATTAAAAGGAAGTTCAAGTCAAAATGTGATAAATCGTAGAAAATATGTACAAATTTGACAAAAGTTCTGATGTTACTGCTTCATATTATCAGTTTGAGTGAGCACAGAAACTACCATAACCTCGTGAATAAGAGTTGCATTCAGCCTAGGCATTATAAGATGAGGAAGGACAGATAATTGAGTTTTCCCACAACGATATATAGCCTAATAAGTTTTGATTTTGTCTCTATGTACACAAATATTGTTTGAGTTATGTTCAATATATTTCGTTTAAATTGATGAAAGACTGGTAGGTGAATTTTCTTACAATCATATGAGCAGAGCTGGTGTATCCGTTGAATTTCACATATACTTGCCTACCCCAAAAGGGTTCTCATCCCGGCTGGAGGGGACTGCAGTTTCGAACTCGCATGGGTCTTATCGATACCCTCAGCCGGAGTGAAATCGTTGCAGTTTAGTGACACGAAGGCACCCATGACAATGTGATGTAATGATTAGTGTGTTGAGACTACACACACTGCAACGATGTGAATCCGGCTGGGGGTGTTGATAAGGCCAATGCTAGATACGAAGAAAAACTGGGTTTCGATGAATCTCTGGAGATGACATTGTTAGAGGGACCTTCATTTCGCATGAAAGTGCATCAAGAAGAGATTCGTTGGTCGATCTCACCAGATGAGGACGGATGAATCTCGTTGTATGCAGTCGTTTGGCTTTTATACGATATTCATGTTGACACAGTCCACGACACATGGTAGAAATGGGACATGAAATAGAATGGTCTCAAACTAGTAGGTTTGCTGATTACGGTACTTCTGTGTTTAAAAGAAAGATAAGAGAGGCTATTGAAATTAATAGCTTATGAAATACGTTGAATGTAGGAATTACTTATGCTTGATTGATAGAATGAAAGAGAGAAAGGGTGTTGAGCCACCGTCAAAAAGAAGGTGACTCAATTTGTCTGCTCGGTGATGGTTCTAACTTCATTCACACTCGTCCAACATGTTAGATTAAGCTCATCAACCAAATAAGATATGCCAAATTACGCAGCCCCAGTCATGCCTTTCCTTGTAGGGTTGAACGTTAATGACCCTAGACTGAGAGGTTAGGACAAGTGGTTTCGTAACTTGAATTACATGCTTACAAACTCATATCTCATTATCTG